AAAGCTTATCTTAATCTAATCGTATTTTATGATATGCGAAGAGAGATGTCCAAGTGTTGTTTATGGCACAAATGATGTCTGTAGAATACGTTCACGAGACAATGTGACACCGTACTGGGTCATTGTGTGATCTAACTCGGTATTTACTACGGGTGTATGAGGTCATTTCGTACTTAATAGTACCAAATACTTACTGTATATATATAGATGTGTCACGTGTGGGGATGAGCTTGAATATTTGTTCTCTGATTATTAGCTTAGGTATTTTTTTTGTGTGATAATTTTCAAGAGTGTACAAACGTACCGCAATCAGTCATTTGAATACAAATAATTTTAGTTGAGAAATAACCGACAAATACAATCTAAATCACAACACATTCACTCTCAAATTATTTTATATATAACTCTGCCTCTATTGTGAACGGTCATATAATCCGCATGTACAACACAATCTGTGATTGTAGTTAAAATGTGACGAGTTTTACATGCTGGCTATGGTGCACTCGTGACATGCTAAGGAGGAAGCCTGCTCACGTTAGATTGTGTGATAATCGTTACCATGTTAATATACATATGTATACACTGAAGTGCAATGGCTGGCCATATACTTACTTAAAATGTCAGCTTTCTCTCGATACATGGAGCAAACGTTAACCTGTCAGCCAATCAAAAATCAGCAGTTATAGATATCCATTTTTACAATTTTATTCATTTATTAATTCACTCATGTGGAAATCCGCGAAGAACCGAACCCCATAACGACATGCATACTATCATATTCGTCTTGGTTTGGTCTAAAGAGTGTCATATGTCCAGACACCTGGTTCTGTGTGTGATCGCCAATTTTGTCTTTGTTGCAAATTATTTAGGTTTATATTTAGTAAAAAAAAACCACTTCATTTTAGCAGTGTACGACAACTAACGCTAACTGATGTGCTGTTTTATCAGCATGCTTCATGTCTTTGATTAACTTATCTCCTGGATACAAAATCTGAACTTTGCTCTTTATTTGAAAATAAACATTTTAGACATTTGATCTAATAACACATAATGTATGATGTAGACCTACGTTCGTCAGTGTCCCCCATCCCCTTTCCCTGGCCCCGTGAGAACTTTCGGCTAGCATGCGTCTTGTCTGGGGGTGATGTCGAGACATGGTGTTATCAGAATGAGAGTTGCACGTCCGACCCCGAAAGCTAATGATTAGAAATACATCCAATAAGATCAAAACACAGATTAGATTCGTCGTGACGACGTTACGGCTTCCTTCTCAATTTTATCGCCCTCTTACAGATGTTTCGTTTGTTTTATTTGAAAGCAATACAGCACTGTTTTGTGATAATGTAACTGAGGTCGATATAAAACCCTATCAGGATGAAAGAAAAACGAAACGAAATTCAGTTTACGCGTAACACGCCCTAGATATCTGTAACACGGTCCGGATATTAACATTAGTATAAGACTGGGCCCTTTCTCGGACAAATTTATTCCCTACTCACGTCAAGTGATTTCCGCCGATACACTTATTGGCATCGGTGGTGTATGCCGGCGTCAAACCAAGCCTCCTTATCTCACTTTTAAACCGTCGACTGTAGCATTTACTATGACGTCATAGAAAAACCTCGTAAATGTCTCTATATTGACAGCCTGTTTAACCTCGGTGCCTCGTTTTCAGGACCTTTAGTAAGGTGCTCGGATCCTGTGTTATGACCAATAAACCTTAATGTGACTATAAAACAACAATACATATAGAATTTATACAAAAGCGTTCACAGGTTTATGAAATTTAAATCACCAGACATGCGGTGGAGATTATTTGGATGCTTGTTGATATAATAGACCGAGATAGATAGGGGATGGTCATGGCAGTCATTCCTATGAATCCTCTTATACCAGTGTACGATACGGCTCATCAGAACGCGATTACCTCGATATGATGCTCAGTCATTAGCACGTGACCCATCCCTGGTTCACCGCAAAGTCAGATGAGAGTGTCGCAGAAGGAAAATACCTTTTACAGCATTTAATATCGTGATATACATTGTCAAAATAGTTCAGACTGATCGTGATGGAAACGTGCGGAGGTTAATTCACAAATAAAACAGGGTTCACGGATGCTGGTCAGACTGGTGATACCTAACTGTAGGCCACGAGAAAGGCGATTGTGTTATCCTTTAAGCCATGCGACCAGCAAATATCATTTAACGATGAAAAACTGTATAGGTGATTTTCAATAATGAAACGAAATGTCAGAAATTGCGATATTTTTCTATCAATGTTGACATCAGCCTGTGTGCAACAGATGTGTACTCGATTTGTCATAAGCCTGGATGATTCAGTTATAGAAAATAAAACTAAGAACACATTTCCTGGGCAGATGGGCAAGGTTAATGAAAACATCTTTTATACAACTCTGGTTAGCTTAGCTACTTTCCAAATACATCTTACTTGTTGGAGATATGAAGGCATGGTTTTGTCCGTGTTAGAAATTTACTTTTAGGAACTAAACAGGGTACTTTCAACTAAATTACCGACAATTGTAAGAGAGAAAGATACAGTTGAGATACATGATGCGTTTAAGCTGTCAGTTACCATGTAGATGTACTCATTATCTCGTACAGCCGGTAATGGTAGCTATTTTTATTCTAGGGACTGGTTCATTTTAAATCTAATTATTTCCGAAGTTTGTTGTAGCACTAGCACATGTATGGCATACACAGTGGGTATCTACATCCAACAAAAAGTGCGATTCTTCACTTTCTTGGCTTTCCATTCCCTACGTTTAAAACTTAAATGTGAAATCTTGAATTGCTTTGATATAAATGTCTCTGGTTGTTGCCACATTCACGAAAGAATATTACACAGAAACACCAGCTGTTGCCGGCACGAGTCATACTCTGATATATGTAGATTCTGATCTATTTCTGATGTCACGTGTTTTTAATACTGCTTCTAGTTGCTGACGCTGGATAAATTAAATCAAACTGTGTTTCGGTTTTGAATTGACTTTAACACATTTGTTTGGTGTTATAAGTAGATTTCATACAAACTGACCTTAGTGCAAGAAAATGTCCCCAAAAAAGATGAGTAGAAGAAATGTAAACAGTGTATCACTATATATCAGTATAGGCAGTTCAAAACCGAGCGAGGAGATAACAAGTGAGACGCGCCAGCTGTGAGGACTGGCAGGGCTGCGCGTGGGGTAGAGGGACACATACATCATCTCAGGGTCGCCTCGACTCATCAATATATCACACTATGTACGCACGTCCAGGAACTATGTGAAAGCGCGTGCTTTACACATCCAGGTCTTGTTAACGTGTAACAATGTTTAGTCAATTCACACCAGTCGAGAGGGATTCTCTGAACATGTTGGATTAGTAACGTTTGAAACTTCACAAAAAACTTGTTCCCGGGAGTGATCTTCTTCTCCAAATGAAAGATCGACCTACACGTAATGTTGTAGCGGTGAGCTTGATTCCATAAGTGTTGCAGGTATGGTCTTGATTCCGTGTTACTTTATCAGATAAAGAAAGTTACCTTGTATTGTAGGTATAGGCTTGATTCCGTATTACTTTATCAGATAAAGAAAGTTACCTTGTATTGTAGGTATAGACTTGATTCCGTGTTACTTTATCAGATAAAGAAAGTTACCTTGTATTGTAGGTATAGACTTGATTCCATGTTACTTTATCAGATAAAGGAAGTTACCTTGTATTGTAGGTATAGACTTGATTCCGTGTTACTTTATCAGATAAAGAAAGTTACCTTGTATTGTAGGTATAGACTTGATTCCGTGTTACTTTATCAGATAAAGGAAGTTACCTTGTATTGTAGGTATAGACTTGATTCCGTGTTACTTTATCAGATATAGAAAATTTCCTTGTATTTCACTTTGAAGTGACCAAGAGTGAACTCACCATGCTTATGTTGTTTGATTTTAATGAACCTGGTCATTTTCTTGAACTTCACGAATTACAATATTCCAATGGACGTTTTTGGAGACTGATACAAAGTAACGCCTTTCTGCAAATCACACGAAGTATACCATTATCACGTTACCATCATGACGTCCTATTTACTGACGGACATTGTCTCACATTTACAGTAGTGCAACTGATTTTAGTGTGATTTGAAGCTGTACTTACTTTAAATAGCAAAGGTGCAGGAGACGTAAACATGGTTATTAAACTTGCTAGTCATGACAAGTTCTGTCATTCATATCAACTATTAATGTCATATATAAACACTTCAATGCTTAACTAAAAATACGTATTGTACAACTCGGTAAATCGTTTTGCTTTTCGCAAGTCACACACATGGATATCATAATTCACATACACTTATGAATATCCGGATTGTAATTTACGTGCACGTGCAATGTTTTATTATAGTCTGTATTAATTGATGTTCATGTTTTTACGTCCATTTAAATAAAGGAGTCTGACTGCATTACACCGACACTAGACTAGTTATAACAGTTACCTAAACGTTGTGTGGGTGTGACTCAATCAGCTGTATACATACTTAGCTGGCTATTTACCCGTTAATGTGTGTTGACAAATACATGTAATATACACGATTTCCGACCCAGATGGAGCTGGATAAGGGCTGGGAGCATACTATTAACTTTGTTTAATTCCTGTAACGGAGGATATTAAAATATTAACCTAGGTCTGGGGATCTACTTAATGTAGTCACCTATAACAAAACTTCAAATAGTCTTTATGTGTTAAACACGTAAGTGACATTTTAGCGGGACCGCCATATTTACACAATCGCGACGTGAGCTCTGTAAAGTATCGGGAGACTAGCCTGGACAGCTATCACTCACGGGTATGTGCCTCATTACGGCTTGAACACCACATTGATCCTACAAAGACGGAATATTTATTAACATGCGTATTTACGCACCAGGTGGAGTTACACATCAGTATTTTTGCAATGTTGTCTTAATCTATGATGATTGTAACGTTTTTTCGACGCTTTGTGTTTTTCAGTCAAACGCGCGCCATCTAAGAAGAACAAAATCTGTTAACGTTGTACCGTCATCTGCTTCCGCTTCCGGTCCTGGAAATAAATCTGTTGCCATGGCTACGAAGGTAGATAACTCTCCTGAAGCCTCTCCGGCATCTCGACGGAAGAAACAAAAAGCTCTGTTGGTTAAGAAAATAGCTGCAAAAGATATCGAGGACCCCACTACAACCGGGTACATGGAGAGGAAAAATATCAGTGAACAATGGCTTAGGTAAGCAACAGTTTCTTCATTGTAACATCAAATAAAAATGTCCGGACATCGTTCTGTTTTTACCCTATTTTGTAAGCGTCTAAGAGAGAAATTATATACGCTGTTTCTTGCAGAAATTTAAAGGTGTGAAATACAAATTTTCGCCCTTTCCCCAAAAAGTCAGTTTCGGCAATATAAAGGTCCTTTGTGAATGACATCATTGTGTAGTATTGTATGTTTGTGTTTAAGTGAAGGTTAAGTACCTAGAATATGTTCAGTTATGTGAGTAGGTTTTTCACCTTTTTCTGACAGGAAAGCTGTTTATCCTTTCTGTTTACTTTTTCAACAGACTGGAAATTGGTTAATAAGATAAAGGGAAGATCGGGTGCCTTTGTAACCCGTCGCTGATTCGCTGTGATACACAGTAGATATCTTAAATTCTCTGGCCTTACTCTGACTTGTTTGATATTGCCTGGTGTGACCCAGTGTCCCCAGACTGTGACAAAATATACGACTAATATCAAATATAGCAGTTTATTGATCATAAACATGAGTCATATACATTTAAAGCTGTTTACAGTTGTTACTACATGGTAAGGTATGTGTGTATGAACATATAGATAAATTATGAATAAAAATCGGAGTTATAACGATGCTAGGGGAGAGGTTGTGACTCTCATTACAAAACGATAAGGGATTTGACAAAGGTAGGTCACTCACTAGTAAAGTTGTCACACAAAGAGTGTCGTTATAACGGAATAAATCTTTGAAGATATCCAATGGTCTGTCAACACTGTTTATTAATGTTTAAAGTTGAATTCCCTCGTGTTTTCACGCAGGTATTATTCCCTGTGATAATTTAAGGTATTTATCCTTGATTGAGAAAATCATTAATTTTCCATCAATACCCCTAATTATGCATTTTTTTTTTATTTTTTACTTTTCGTTGCATCATTCAATTACGTAAATACAAAGTATGTTATGATTGATATTCACATTGCCATATGATTTATAATGAAGACATTGAATTTGTTAGGCATCGTTGAAAATAAGATAACAAGACCTTACAAAACTTCAGTCAAGGATGTGTTTGACACTTTCCTACTTTCCCCCAATTTTACAATGGAGAAGATTATAAATAGCTACACGTTGGAGTAATGCCTTCTCGTAATTCATGTATTCCATCGAAACACGTTATCTTCTTACAAACTGTTTTGATAATTATTTCCATAAAAAAAGGCAAGCTTTCTTAAATGTTGTGGTTTTATGACAGAATTCTGTCCGATATACTCGGAACTTTCCATGAGTTTAAAGGGACACAGGACAGTGGTTACGTAGCAAATAACTTCTCAACACGGATATGTAAATTTTCGATTCTATGTGAATTTTAAAAAACGATGTTTGACTAAATTGTCCCTTTCAGGGATTTGAAGGCTCATTAATTCGACAGTGTTTTATGGGTCATGTAATTGACATCTGAACTTGCATTTATTTTGAAAAAAAAAATCATTTTACGAGGTCAATTTACCTTACATTTTGTATTTTTAACAAAATGAGAAATAAATTTCGTAGTTTGTACCAGTGCTTGAAATTAGAATGCCGTAATGCTAAATCTTATTTAGTGTAAACTGAATAGTATCTTCATTGTCGGTATGAACTGGGGCATTAGTGTCAAATCAATTCGCCGATATTTTCGTTACTTTATGGTACATTAGTGTCAAATCAATTCGCCGATATTTTCGTTACTTTATGGGACATTAGTGTAAATTGAATTCACTGATATTTTCATTACTTTATGGAACATTAGTGTAAATTGAATTCGCTGATATATTCATTACTTTATGGGACATTAGTGTAAATTGAATTCGCTGATATATTCATTACTTTATGGGACATTAGTGTAAATTGAATTCGCTGATATTTTCATTATTAACTGGACATTAGTGTAAATTGAATTCGCTGATATTTTCATTATTAACTGGACATTAGCGTAAATTGAATTCGCTGATATTTTCATTACTTTATGGGACATTAGTGTAAATTGAATTCGCTGATATTTTCATTACTTTATGGGACATTAGCGTAAATTGAATTCGCTGATATTTTCATTACTTTATGGGACATAAGTGTAAATTGAATTCGCTGATATTTTCATTATTAACTGGACATTAGTGTAAATTGAATTCGCTGATATTTTCATTACTTTATGGGACATTAGCGTAAATTGAATTCGCTGATATTTTCATTACTTTATGGGACATTAGTGTAAATTGAATTCGCTGATATTTTCATTATTAACTGGACATTAGCGTAAATTGAATTCGCTGATATTTTCATCATTAACTGGACATTAATGTAAATTGAATTCGCCGATATTTTCATAATTAACTGGACATTAGTGTAAATTGAATTCGCTGATATTTTCGTTACTTTATGGGACATTAGCGTAAATTGAATTCGCTGATATTTTCGTTACTTTATCGGATATTAGTGTAAATTGAATTCGCTGATATTTTCATTACTTTATGGGACATTAGTGTAAATTGAATTCGCTGATATTTTCATTACTTTATGGGACATTAGTGTAAATTGAATTCGCTGATATTTTCATTATTAACTGGACATTAGTGTAAATTGAATTCGCTGATATTTTCATTACTTTATGGGACATTAGTGTAAATTGAATTCGCTGATATTTTCGTTACTTTATGGGACATTAGTGTAAATTGAATTCGCTGATATTTCCATTACTTTATGGGACATTAGCGTAAATTGAATTCGCTGATATTTTCATTACTTTATGGGACATTAGTGTAAATTGAATTCGCCGATATTTTCCCTTGTTCTGGTAGAGATAATAACATCCTGTATACACATCCTGTGTAAAAAACAGTCTTATATCAATGTGTGGTGTAACGATCACCCGTGAAGCTTACCGGCTTTCAACTTACTTAAAAAAATAATGATTTGTATGTTTATCCACCATATGTAGTGCACGTGTTTCTTTTCTAAGTAGTTTATAATTTCGAATCTTGTCATATTTCCAAAATATATGGGTAAACTACAGTAGGCGTATATATCATAGTTTTGTTCGTTATAAGAGGGCGGTTTACTGGCAAGTCTCGGACCGACGGGATAACGATCTGTTCTGATAACGTAAAATGGTATATGGTGTATTGACGCCTCAGAGCTAACCTTTCCTGTACACTGACGTCAGATTGTACAGCTGTGTTGATTGTCTTTTATTTACAATTTTATTTTTTTCTTTGCAATTTGTCAGTAACATGAACAGCAAACAAGTGATAAAGTTTCTTCTTTTTACACAGTGAAATCTGTACACAAAAATAACCATTTCGTCTCGAATGTTATATTTTTTACTTATTTTACAGTTTGTTTGAATCACGAAAAACAAACCAGTTACAAAGATTATCTCTGATTATCTTTATAATGGTGAGCTCTGTTGAAAAAAACAACTTTTTGTATCAGATTTTGAAATCTCAATTTACCAATTCGTGAGAATCCTGATCTTCGGCAGTCAACATGTGGAAAAGTTTGTACAAATATCTGACATCGTCTCCAATAGGTTTATTCACCACACTAAAAAGGCACTAAATAACTTACAGTTAGAATTACAAATGTAACTATTGTTCCATTGTATAGACTAATAAACCAATTACTAGCGTCAATATTTCCGGAACCAGGCCGGTGTAGGGTTAACTCTGAAACAAATAAACCCACGATTCTGTACCTGGTACTACCAAATGTCTAGAAGTAGATTATTTTCATGGATGTTGTGATATATTTGAAATTAATTGTGTAACAAATGTAAAAGCATCCTTCAAATTTTACACATTTTCTGTTTAATATTCTTCACGGATCTTGGCCCATGACCAATAAAACGCATCCTCTTTCACTAACAACGAATACTTAAAGCTATCCCTACAGGAACAGAGCTACATGTATCCGAGATAAGGACGTTTGCGTGATGTTTACCGAGATAAATGGGGATGAGATAGAGCCAGATGTGTGGGTGGGGGTACACATCTCTCGTCTGGGGGTTATCGGTACAACTGACCTGCACTCACCAATGGTAAGCACGCGGTCACAGAGCGCTCCATCAACTCAGCCTTTGATTTCTTAATTTTGTTTTTGTGTACATTGAGGAGATAGTTAACAGTTTCTGCTTTCAGAGATCACACAGTATGTGTGTTTAAGATTACAAGAAAGTGAAATTAATTTTGAAAATATGTAAAATTGAAAAATAAGAAATAATTAAATAAAAAAAATGAAATATTCAGAAAATTTTTAGTGATAAATGTGTAATAATTAGTTGACGAAAATTTTGTAAATGTTTCACTGTGCGCACATGTATCACATTATTCTTGTCATTTTCATTTTACATTTTACCATACAAAAGGCCAGTAAAAATGAACACGATAAAAATAATTTCAAAAAATATATATTTAAAACGAAACCATAATTACGATCACATGAAATCTAAAATTGCTTTCTTAGGCAAGTTTTACCGATAACATCACCACCTGAACTGAATATTTCACATATGTGAAACAGAAAGTTGGGGTGGCGTTAGAAATCTTATATTGTCTGAAGATATCATCTAGATAACAGTTAATGTGTTGGAGGCCATGTTTCCAGTGAACTGGATCTGAGTAAAGATAAGGGTTTCAAAATTAGACAGCAGTACCGTATGGATAAAACATTTGTAAAAGATACAAAAAAAAGCCCGCAAAAGTCGGTATTAGAATCGGAACAAAGGTAAGAAATTGGTATTAACCTTGAACCCAATACGGAACACACCTATATCATAAAATATATATAGTTTGTTATGTCAATGACGGGATCCTACTAGCTTACTGCAAAAAAGGTATCATTGAGCTGTTTTTATAATCAGTTTTACAGATACTGGTTTGTCCTCAAGAGTCTCTCTCTGTCATTATAATTAGTCCTCATTGTTACATTACAGGTACTGGTTTGTCCTCAAGAGTCTCTCTCTGATATTATAATCAGTCCTCATTGTTACATTACAGGTACTGGTTTGTCCTCAAGAGTCTCTCTCTGTCATTATAATTAGTCCTCATTGTTACATTACAGGTACTGGTTTGTCTTCAAGATTCTCTCTCTGTCATTATAATTAGTCCTCATTGTTACATTACAGGTACTGGTTTGTCTTCAAGAGTCTCTCTCTGTTATCGTAGCCAGTCCCTATTGTTACATTACAGGTACTGGTTTGTCTTCAAGAGTCTCTCTCTGTCATTATAATTAGTCCTTATTGTTACATTACAGATACTGGTTTGTCTTCAAGATTCTCTCTCTGTCATTATAATTAGTCCTTATTGTTACATTACAGATACTGGTTTGTCTTCAAGATTCTCTCGCTGTTATCATAGCCAGTCCCTATTGTTACATTACAGGTACTGGTTTGTCCTCAAGAGTCTCTCTCTGTCATTATAATTAGTCCTCATTGTTACATTACAGGTACTGGTTTGTCCTCAAGAGTCTCTCTCTGTCATTATAATTAGTCCTCATTGTTACATTACAGGTACTGGTTTGTCTTCAAGATTCTCTCTCTGTTATCGTAGCCAGTCCCTATTGTTACATTACAGGTACTGGTTTGTCCTCAAGAGTCTCTCTCTGTTATTATAATCAGTCCTCATTGTTACATTACAGGTACTGGTTTGTCCTCAAGGGTTCTTCGCTGTTCTGTTACCTTACTCCGGACGACACGATGACCGTCGACCTGCTGGACGTCCGCGGCTACAGGGGCGAGTGTCTTGTTGACAGGTTCAGGGGAAAACGCTTCGTACTTCATCTCACACACGAGGTTCGTATACGCACGTGCAGAACACGTGCATATTTATATCTGGTATTTATAAAGGCACTTTTAACTTGCAAATTTTATGTGCATTTGCATAAACTACTTCAGCTGGTCGTTTCCACTCGTAGAATTCTCGCTGCCTTTCTATTTGCTCATCATTCTTAAAACATTAAACGAAAAGAAAGTAAGGAACATTTCAGATGTTGAAATGAAAAAGCAACGATAACTTATTTAACTTCAACCGTGTTTGCTTTCTTTTAGGAATACGTGTCCATCCATCTATCGGTTGACAGCCGGGACGATATGGAAGAGTGGAAGGCAGCCATTCAGGATGCGGCGGGGGACTCCCCAAGTCCACAGGCCGAAACGTCAGAGACAGTAGTGGTAGAGGCTAACTCTCAGACAGGTATGTAACATTAAGTGTAATTGCGTTGTATATTAATTTGTTCTTTGTTCCAACCACACGTTATTAAACACAAAGAAGAAGTCACATCCTCTTTTTTGTCCTCAAATTACATGTCAAGCTAAATCGAATCATTGGCCATGAATATTCCTGAAGATTTATTTTTCCTATTTCCTACAGATGGCGCTACTTATGAAGACAAATGTGTATCAGTCAAACAGAAGCTTTTGAACGAAATGTTACGTCAGAAACACGAGCTGGAGAGGAAGCAGGCAGCTCGTCAACGGGTAGGTCGTCTGTTAGGGTTTTGATTTTAATAATCCTTCATAATGATATTCCAATTTACTGAATTCAGGATATACTGCGTCTTTTTCCCTATTTATAACTTCGAAATCCAGGGGTTCAAATGTCAATATGTCAGTATACGCACATCCTGGATTGGAGACTAGTAGAAATATGGGTGTCTAGTTTCGAAATTGTCACTAATCAAATGGATCATTTCTAGCCTTTAATTATGTGGATCTCGCATCCAAACACTGAACGTATTAAATGCTGCAAAATAGTATAATTCGCACTCGGTGGGCAGATGTGAAATATGTGGTTTTTATGAATAGTAATTGTTATGTGAACAATCTATTCCTGGTAAGGTACAAGTTTGGTCATTCTAGCACAATGAACTTAGTTGTCAGATGTATTTGATGGCGAATTAAACTTTCTAGATATAATTTTGTTATCATATGTCAACAGATGAACGCAATGATTTACTTACATAAAAACCGAACTTTATAGAATAAAAAATTCAATTGTTTAAAATTTCAATATATTCCAAATGTTCTTCATTCGAAGATGAAACAGGTTGCCTTTTGTGCCGTGTCACTTGATTTCTCCAAGTGATAATAACCTTTAATGTTGTTCGAGTTGTGTCCCTTGACGTTACATTCTGCTTCTTTCAGCGTTCTCAGGGTGTTGAATCCCCCAACAAAGATCTCAGCTCGGTTGAGAAACAAATAACCTACGCGACCCACATACGTCAGAGACGCTTGTCAACTCAAATCAAGGTAATATATGCGTTTGTTTTGGGAGATGACTTATATTGTGCTGGCATAGTAGTGTCATTAAATAAATAAAAGTTTCTTTGTCCTACGGAGGTTAACAGTCACGGTATTAATTATGTGTTTGTTAATTACTTAATATTAAATATATATGCAATTTAATATATACATATCCTGAAAAAGAAATGACCTAATTCATGAAAATATTTATTGAATTTACTGTACTGAAGAGCTATGTTCCTCATAATCAAACTATATTTTAGTGAGGTTAGTATTTCATTTCATTGGTCTTTGTTACGCACCATGACTATTTTACTATGACGTATCCTACTTCTAAAAGACGGTATCTTTGTCAACTTTGCGAGTTCTTTGCAGAAAGTGAAGTTCCTTAATCCTTATTCTACCGCCTTTCTGACCATAATCCTGATCACATCAATGTTTATTTTGCTTGTTTATTACATTAGATGGAAACGATAACCAAACAGCTACAAAGCCAGACCACTTCAAATAAACGCTTTCCGTTCAGTTTTGGAGGCAAAAAGAAAAACAACAACCAGGAGCACCTTAAAGGTCAACTGGAGGAGTTGAACAACAAACTACAACAAATAGACTATGATCTTACCTCACACATCAACAAATCCACGTCTAACTCGGATTTGCTTGATATGAATCAAAACCGGAAGTCCAACGGCAATGGCGTTTACGAACATGAATTGCGTGTCAATGATGATGTGACATCTGGAACCAGATTACCAACAGGAAGCAGTAATAGTGCAAAGGAAGACAGTGATATGAATAAGACAAATACTTTGAAAAATAGTGTTCAGAAACTAGCTCAAAAGACATTTTCTAGATCTGTGAAATCGAAAAAATCAAAGCGTCCTGGTGACGGTGATTCTGCAATAACGAACGGGTACCTGTCGGACTCAATGGTGATAGATAGACATCGAATCGACCGTGAGGATATGTCGAATGATTACGACTCGGAGGATGGAATAGATAATCACAAGGCCGACAGTCTGACCGACCTGACCACAACCACCACCTCTCATACAAGTGAGGATAATGTGTTTGATGATAAATCTGACACTGACGGCACCAAGTTTAAATCCAGAAAAAGCAACTCTTCGTACTCATCCAATTCTTCTACACATTCACAGCAATCAACACCGAGGAAGGAGGTCGACCCCAGCATCATGGCGGAAATAGACGTAAGTATATAAATTTTACAGTAATATTTTGTTGGTAAATGTTTTCTGTCACAGACATGGGCTGTGAATCGCACGCTTATGAGGGGTGTATTTCCGTGGATATCATTATGCTCAAAGAATTGCTACATTTTGTTTTGTTTGTTTGTTTGCTTGCTTGCTTGTTTTTATGGTGGAGAATGCAGAAAATATCAAAACATATGGATTGTAAATTTAGAGAGCAAACATATTGCAATGATAATGTGAAATTTAGAAAGTTCGAAATCCTCCTAATTGTTTTATTTTTTATTCCAGGCATTTGAAGATTTCACGAAACAGATTTTGAGTAGGAAGACTGTAACATCTTGAGAATGACAGTGAGTGTTTCCTGAGGTGTGCAAGTCATCTTTACCCAATCCTTCAGATGTCATTCAATCTCACAGTCATCCTCCCATGATTAGGAACACTGACTCCACATAACTATTGAGGCTGCGGCGGTTATGTTACACAGGGTGATTGTTAGAGAGAAAACAGACGGACGATATGGTCTTGAAGCAATGATTAAGAAATTGTATGAGGCCACTCTCACCAGAGTAAGGAAAAAAGTCCTGTCGGGTTTTAAATAACGGCCAGTGAATTCTTGGACAGGGTATCATGTTTCCACAAAGATCGTGTTGTTGATGACCAGGCGGTTTAAATCTTTTATAAAAATAGCAGGATTTATACTAACTTTATTGAGAATTGGTGCGAGAGTTATCTCTACTTACCTCTTACCAAAACGATATAACAATTGAGAACTATCTTTTGTTATCAGTATATTTGGTGAAAAGGGATTCAAGCGTCATCACTGAACTGTGTTGCTATAGTAACAAGAAGTTATATGATTCGTAGTGTGGAACTTTCCCGAAAAGGAGATGCATTTCATATTTGATATTGGACACCATTAAACCAAACAATTCAGTGACAATTGTAAGTAATATGTTGTATATTTGCTTAATCAATTATACGAAACAAGCTTACCACTTGTGATGGATCAAAGCTGAGGATTTTCCAAAGTCTCTATGTCCCAGAGAGGAAAGGCAAAACGTGCAATGCAAATTTGACGGCAGGCTTTATCATTTCAAAGTTTAACAAAATTAATTTTGAAAATGCATAGGACAATGTGTTGTAACACAAATGAATTAATGTTTATCTAAAATAAAATACATACTTATTATCCGTTTTGTTCTCTGTTGTGGTTGCTGTGGATACTTGTGTACGTTTTTATCAGATGGAAGGGAGATAACTCAAAATATAAAACTGTTGTAAGTTACTCCCCCTTAGATTTAAAAGCAAACAATGTACATTGCATTGCGGTATTTTCACAAAAAGCTACAAAAGTGCACAGATGGTGGACAAAGTGGACTCTGAACAAATATTTTTTTGTAAATATAGATCAAGTTGTAACCACAAAATGGATAAAACAAAGACATAATATAAACGATAGATCCGTATCGTTTTTGTCGTAATGTTGCAAGTAGACTTGGCTGACACTGTAAGTATCAATTTGGTGTGACCAATATATATCTGCATCCCCAACCTATGGTGTTTAAATGTCTCGGTTGATTCGATGTTCATGGACCTATCTTTATTAGTACGGTTTTCGTACTAAAGGCGTCAACTGATGCACGATCTCCTCACACAGGGTTTCAAAAGATGCAGATCGATGAAAGTTATGGGGAAGTTTTACGGTCGTCATAGTGATTTCATTAAGAAATCGTCTATTTCTTTGTGTGATATGAAGCTGGACGTGTTTTATGCTCATTGGGCACCTTGTTCTCATTTGAGATCGAGGCCTGACTTACTTGGATTGACCAAGTTTTATATGGCGGAAGTCGTCGATGAACCGGAAGACTCTTACTCTTCCGGAACACCTGGTCTTATTCTCCTTGTTCATATTTTGCCAATTTGAGTTTGGATTATGATTACGCTGACATGTTGGTACCCTCTTCGTTTTTTCTCGAATACCAGTGATTTATGTTAAAGGGTATGTTTCTTTCGAACACAATATAGAATTTGAATGTGTTAACTTTAAATTGACAAAACAAGTATTTTCTAACTTTGGATATTTGTAATAATATGTATCAAATTCAATGGATGTACGTTTTGAGTCCGTATTTGAAGGAATTCACCTTGGGTTCTGTGAAAAGCCTCTTGGGTTCTGGTGATGAAAGCTAGATGAATGGAAGGTTTCTTATTTGGTCATTGAAGCACTTCGAAGGGCTGCTGCCGGCTTTTCTTTCGGATGTTCACCAACAAAGACGTACACGGGGATGATGAGGGTTCTACCAATATGCCATGGCCTGCCAAACATAGTTAGTGTTTCAGCACCTTGGTTTCGATTCTATATTTAGATTGTACACTAGACACTAGTTTATAGCAAATTTGAATAAGAATTTAGAGTTAGATATAATAGAGTTAGACCAAATTATTAGAATACACCATACAGTTGTTTTGTCCTTCTAGGATTCGTCAGCGATGTTAAGGGCCTGAGACTTGTTCCAGTGTTGTGATGGCGATGGCGATGTTAACTTTCACAACCTTGCTAAATCAAGCATTTAAGCAATTTTTCCAGGACCGACACATTTTTCTCTTGCTGTGCTATGCTATATCAGTTTTGTTTTGAGATCCGAGTTGCCTTAAAGAGAACACTAGTTTATTATGTTGACCGAACATGTGAACAAATTGTGTGTTGTTGCTACTTGTCAACTGTTTGATAATGATATATTTATGTGTAAGAAAATCAGATAATATGATTGTTATCCAGTTTTTAAATGAAAAGAAACCATTTATTTTTCAATGATTTGTATGGGGTTTTTTGGCCTGGGTATCAATATTATATTTTCTTCCCACACGAAGAACTATAGACATGGTAATCAAGGAAAGTCTACCTATACATAACATGTCTTTCCAAAGATGCAATGATTCGTGTTGCCCATATATGGTAAGGATAGATATATACTTTTCTTATTATATTCCTAAACTTCACAAGAGTTCATATATGGAATGTTACAACCATCCTTAGTACATGTTGCATCATCAAATCAGGATTGAAGTTGTATTGTGGTACTAGAGAAGCAGATTTTGTGAAAAGTGGATTTTCAAGGAGCGTTGGAGAATAATATCCTCTTCTGAAAAATATTTCAAAATTTAGGCATTTAGCATCACTGATGAGTCCTAGAAGGACGAAACATCTGTATGATGTAGCATCACTGACGAGTCCTAGAAGGACGAAACAGCTGTATGATGCACTTAAATTTATTATATGACTTTACGGTATCTAAATCTGCAGTTATATCAAAAGGTTCTATTCATTTGTGTATCTTTTGTACAATCCTCTTCCACTATCACATTCCAAGCTTAAGCAATGCCTCCATTCCTTGGCTATAAGAGTTTTCTTTTCAACAGAAAGGCAAACATCAGTACAAGAATATGGTAATAATAAGTTATACTGGCGCGTATTTCGCCAGGAAAGCTATACAGCGAACACCTTATTCTCCTTGTACTGTGTCAGAAGTTTGATTTTTGTATCACAGCTTTGGTGTTGGATATCAGATTATATTGAAATGCTGGGATTTTCACTATAGTTTATATATTTAGTACATGGATAATTAAGTTTCAAAATTAATTCTTTACGCCATGTCAGTGACCTATCGACCGTCATTTCTGCGTATACTGTTATTGTGTTGTGAGGGTGTACCTGGTACTCCCGCGGTGTATTAACATTATGTGTGATGTAGCATCACTGACGAGTGTATTAGGACGTAACAGCTGTATGACCTGTAGCATCACTGACGGTGTAAAACAGCTGTATGTGTTGTGGGGAGTCCTAGTCAGGACAAAACAGCTGTATGATGCACTAAAATTTATTATATGACTTTACGGTATCTAAATCTGCAGTTATATCAAAAGGTGTTATTCATTTGTGTATCTTTTGTACAATCCTCTTCCACTATCACATTCCAAGCTGTTGCAATGCCTCCATTCCTTGGCTATTACTAGTTTTTGTGTTGTGGGGTGTACAAACATCAGCGGTGTATTACTATTGTTGTTTACTGGGGCGTACCCAGGTACTCAGCGAACACATTATTCTCCTTGTACTGTTGTCAGAAGTGTATTTTGTATCACAGCTTTGGTGTTGGATTAGATTGTTGTGGGGTGTACCCGGATTTTCACTATAGTTTATATATTTGTACATGGATAATTAAGTATTCAAAATTAATTCTGTTACGTGTCAGTGACCTATGACCGTCATTTCTGCGTGTATTACTGTTATTGTGTTGTGGGGTGTACCTGGTACTCCCGCGGTGTATTACTATTATTGTGTTGTGGGGTGTACCTGGTACTCCCGCCGTGTATTACTATTATTGTGTTGTGGGGGTGTACCTGGTACTCCCGCGGTGTATTACTATTATTGTGTTGTGGGGGTGTACCTGTCACTCCCGCGGTGTATTACTATTGTTGTGTTGTGGGGGTGTACCTGGTACTCCCGCGGTGTATTACTATTATTGTGTTGTGGGGTGTACCCGGTACTCCCGCGGTGTATTACTATTATTGTGTTGTGGGGTGTACCCGGTACTCCCGCGGTGTATTACTATTATTGTGTTGTGGGGGTGTACCTGGTACTCCCGCCGTGTATTACTATTATTGTGTTGTGGGGTGTACCTGGTACTCCCGCGGTGTATTACTATTATTGTGTTGTGGGGTGTACCCGGTACTCCCGCCGTGTATTACTATTATTGTGTTGTGGGGTGTACCCGGTACTCCCGCGGTGTATTACTATTATTGTGTTGTGGGGGTGTACCTGGTACTCCCGCCGTGTATTACTATTATTGTGTTGTGGGGTGTACCTGGTACTCCCGCGGTGTATTACTATTATTGTGTTGTGGGGTGTACCCGGTACTCCCGCCGTGTATTACTATTATTGTGTTGTGGGGGTGTACCTGGTACTCCCGCGGTGTATTACTATTATTGTGTTGTGGGGTGTACCTGGTACTCCCGCCGTGTATTACTATTATTGTGTTGTGGGGTGTACCCGGTACTCCCGCCGTGTATTACTATTATTGTGTTGTGGGGGTGTACCTGGTACTCCCGCGGTGTATTACTATTATTGTGTTGTGGGGGTGTACCTGTCACTCCCGCGGTGTATTACTATTGTTGTGTTGTGGGGGTGTACCCGGTACTCCCGCGGTGTATTACTATTATTGTGTTGTGGGGGTGTACCTGGTACTCCCGCCGTGTATTACTATTATTGTGTTGTGGGGTGTACCTGGTACTCCCGCGGTGTATTACTATTATTGTGTTGTGGGGTGTACCCGGTACTCCCGCCGTGTATTACTATCATTGTGTTGTGGGGGTGTACCTGGTACTCCCGCCGTGTATTACTATTATTGTGTTGTGGGGGTGTACCTGTCACTCCCGCGGTGTATTACTATTGTTGTGTTGTGGGGGTGTACCTGTCACTCCCGCGGTGTATTACTATTGTTGTGTTGTGGGGGTGTACCTGGTACTCCCGCGGTGTATTACTATTATTGTGTTGTGGTGGTGTGCCTGGTACTCCCGCGGTGTATGTAATTGTCGATGAATAATGGAAACCTGGTTCTTTTAACATTGTATTTCAAACAGCAGGTTTATAACAAGCTTTTTGTACGGAGCCGTTTAACGACATGTTTCATACCTATTTAATTCGTTTTTTTTTTTTTTTTTGAAATAATAATTCGTTTTTCGAAATATCACTTCGTTGTTTCGAAAAATTAATTCGCTTTAACGCAATGCTAATTCGTAACCAAAATATTTCGTTGAAACTAATGGTGGTTCGGAAAAACGAATTATTATTTCGCTAAAAAACGAATAAAATACAAGTATGAAGCATGTCAGTATACAGGCTCCCTAATTTTGTGCCAACCCTCTGACCACAGAAGACAACTTGGTAACTATGGTAACTCTATACAGAGGTTCGTGCAATATATGTATTCTTCTCAGAGTACGGAAATGTATATATAATATGTAAACTTTATTTTACAACAATTGCGAAACAAGCTACCAGCTTATATTAATCAATTATAATTGGTCCGGTGGAAGCGCACACGAGCGGTCTTATTGTGGGAGGAAACTAGAATACCAGAGGAGAACTCACGTGGCATGACAAATGTCAACGTAAAAGGCGAGTGCGAGACCACTGTGCCACCTGACCATCCAAGTCATATCGTGAAATATTAACACTCCCGCGAACTTGAAGCGGTATTGAGTTGTCGTTCTTGACTACAACACTAAGCATGATAGGAGTTCTTTCTTGTTTATTGTGAAGTAAGTGTACTGTTTTTTTATCAAGAAATTATTCAAAACTCATATGCGCTCATATTTTAGCTTGCGAAGCTCTGGATTTGTCGTGACAAATACCGGGGTAAGAAATTCCCTTTGTTGGAATTTCCCGACTCTAAATTAGATCGAAATGACGACATTTGCTTTATTCAAGCGATTTCATTGGTTGGTATAATAAGATGATGGATAATCGTCCTACGTCATTTTAAAAGTAATATGCGATTGGCTGAGAAAAAGAAAAGTTATAAACGCGAAACCAGGGGAACCCCTGCAAGGCGTACTCTCGGTATACAGTCACGGACTATCTCCTGACTTCACGATAACCTTTTTTGACGGTGAAATTCCGTTTGCTTTTAAATTCGAAATTAATTGTACATTTTCATGAATACTTCAACAATAATTCGCCGAAAGTAATAGAGTTAATTTTTCATCGATAGCGAACAACGGACGGAAAACTCAACAATCTCGGCTTTCATGCACAAGAAACTGTTCACTAGCCAAGAACAGTAACTCTGTATTTATCTCAAAGAACAAGTATTTCCCGCTATGGGAACCTCAAGTCTCAAAGAAAAGTACAGATAACAGTAATTATAATCCAGAAATGAGGTGAGACTCCAGGGAACTAACGTGAAACTGCCGCTACTAACAAATCACATGTACAGGAAAAAGACACAATGCAATGTCTGTGGCTCACATTTATTGTGTTTAAAAATACATTATTTCAGTATAAGTAACAGAATATAATGTGCCTAATTATATATATATAATTTTTTGAGAAATCAGGAAAATGGAGTCCCGCGAAAATACATGTTGTATTTCATTCTGTAGTATACATTGTTCCGTATCATTGGATAAAAAGAATGGACAACCTTAATAAGGTATATCAAAGTTTCCCAGGAATATTAAAAGGACTTATGTTATTTAATTTTCTGATAACTATTGTATACTTTTACAACTATGGTTCTTCGTCAGGGTTGAACACCAGGGGTATGCCCACACAGGACACGGAGAAGGTACAGTCCTTGTTAATTGTTTTTTTACATGTACCTGGAAAATCAGCGGACGTTGGCAATTGGTTCTTGTCGTCATTATACCCAATTCTGTAATGACATGTATACAATAGAACAATGTAAAATATTTGCATAAAATGTGATGTATTAGCGTAATAGGTCAAAGTGGAAGAAAACATTCAGAAAAGTCGCAATTTCTTAGTAACGGAACATTCCACGGCATTCGGGTTTTCGGCAATGTGTATTTTATGTGCAGAACTATTTTTTAAGGTCAACATAGCTGACCTCTCAGGGTACACTTTAAACCCAGTCAGCATCCATACAGAAAACAGTGCGATCGTTTTCAATGTCTTTAGGCTGAATTATATGCACATTATCGTTCCAAATGACAAGTACCTCTCATACCCGATGCTTTATATTGGTAGATATAGCTTTTGGAGCTAAAAGGTTCGATCACGATGTATTTTTGTGTAATGATATTTTATATAACGTGATTACAGGATGAAAAAAGGAATCTTACCCACACTTCTCGATCACATTGGGTCTGACGCACTCGTACATCATACACTCAGGGTAAAACTTCACAATTATGGCTCTCACTGCAAGTGTACTGCCATTAAAAAAGCACGCGCCATCATCGGTATTTAAGGGGTTTTCTGTATCAAAGTAAAAAGGAAATGTCAAACTACATTCAATTTTATTATCAGATATCTGTTTTCAAACAATGGTAATTAACTTTTGCTTTGCTCAATCAATTATCATGAAAAAAATATAATGACCGAAACCATGTTGAGGTCCATATCAGTTTCTATATATAAACGCATATTCACCGAAACTAATGTCATGAACTGTTTATTACGAAATTAAGTTTTTACAGTCACTATACAGTACGGAAAGTATGAACATTTTAAAGAGAAAAATAATGTATTTAGCAAAGGGTTTTGCGACTTCATCGTTGAAATGGCCTCCAAAACGAAAACCTGTTTCAAAAATAGGTCCTAGTTTTTATAAAATTAATTACGTTCAATATTGAGTTCATAAAATCACAAAACCGGAAACAAGCTGTAACAATTTATATAAATCCGTTTCCTGATATCATTTAGTTATGACCTGATGGTCCAATCACTGAAATATATAAACGCAGTTTTTGCAGTAATTTATTTGTATGCGTAATTCGAATGAATATATGAAAGTAAAGTAAACGGTATGGGTTCGAGGGTGCGGGTTAGGGTTAGGGGCTGGAAGGGGGGGATGGAAGGTAAAAAGGAAGGGATGGGGGCGTGTTCCTAGTTATGATGCAAACAATGAGAAGATAAAGAATGGCTTTGCTATTTAAATACAATAGGATTCCTCAGAATATATTAAAATATTATTTAGTAAAATGTGATTAGCAATCTTGTCGTTTTTAAATTTGCAAGAAAAGAAGACATACAATAATAAAAATAAACAATGTTGAATCCCCAAAAAAATCTCTAAATACAAAATGCGTTTATTGAATGAATTAAAAATTTGTATATTATTATAAAGTTATTCACATTGAAGAAAAAACAAACAAACGAAAAAAAAAAAACAGAAACAAATTAAGCCAGAACAAAAACCGCCATCATATAAAAAATGAAACCGAGAAAAAATTGGTAGATTTATTGAGTTTGGGCAGGTTTTACCTGTCAAGTTCAGGCTAAATGATAGTGAACATAATACTGAACTGTTCTGTGATTGAAAATTTGGTGGAAATGTTGAACCGGAGGTGTTGTTGGTGATTTCTGTGGTGGCTGATTTTTGCCATTTCGTTGTTTCGTTTTGTCGCCCCGACAGAACGATAATTATTGTCTTTTCGCCCACGCTAAAATTCGTCTTTTCGCAGCGACATAACAAAAAAACCCCGATAATTATCGTCCTTTCGCCGCGACAAAACGATAATTGTCTTCCTTTCGCCGCGACAAAACGATAATTATCGTCCTTTCGCCGCGACAAAACGATAATTGTCTTCCTTTCGCCGCGACAAAACGATAATTATCGTCCTTTCGCCGCGACAAAACGATAATTGTCTTCCTTTCGCCGCGACAGAACGATAATTAAAGAACACTGTAAAACAAAGACTTGTTGACCAATATTTACAAAAATGAAATAGCGATGTATTCAATTCCTGAAAAGCTACATGTTATAGAATTTTCAAAACAAAATATTATTTCGAATATTATTTGGATAATATAGATGAAAAAGAAATAATTACTCTGTAAATCCCGTACTACTAACCATAAGTATTTTGTTGAAACCGGAAGATGGCACGGCATTGAGTATGAAGAAAGGAAATGTCCATATTGCGATCTAGGGGATATTGGTGATGAATTTCATTACCTTCTCCAATGTCCTTTTTTCTTTAATAACAGAGTTTTATATATTGATAAATACTTCTGGTTCAGGCCTAACACGATCAAGTTTAATAAATCAGTGAATATTACTTATGTTAAAACATTAAAGAAGCTGTGTACTTTTATAAGAATGATTAATACCACTATTTGTCCCCCCTAATGTACTAGCGGTATACGATATCATGCATTTGTAAACACAGTAAAATGGATGGAGGAAGCGAGTGTTTCTGTCAACTGTAGAGTCACCTTTAGTTTTCCATCTACAGTAGTATCACTATTGATATTTCTATACTGTTGTATTTACATTGAATGCCATTCATTGGCAATTGATTTAATGTTTTATTAATAAATATCCTCAATTACAAATAAAATTTTTTAATTCAGATCCCTGGTGATACTCTCCTTGATGTTTGGTCTCGGTATCATTTTTTTATTTAAATTCTGGCAAAACTAATCTACAACTTGTTTGTGTTAATTTAGATTCTGGTCAAGTTGTAATTGAATGTGTGTGGAGCCATATGAGTGATTAAGCTGTGATTTTAAACCACAGCCTCAGACGGTCGAAAGACATTCACCAGGCCACAAATATCTCACTGTATATGGTCACATCCTGAACAGATTCTGCAATAATTTTGAAAAAAAAAAACCAACAACAAAGAAAAGATGTCTTTGAAGTAACATGTGTATTGAAAACTAAATGTTATATCGTATTTTTTTCACTGTTTGAAGTTTAAAGCTGTCAGCCTTACATATAATAGTTTGAATGTCAAGATCCAGTCAAACCTTATAATCTGAAAATCTCCGTTATCAGGAAAGTAAATGTACCATTACAACAATTGTAATACTCTCAATCCTTACTAACTTGAACATCTGCAAACTTTTGTTTTGTATGATGTATACATGTAAAATTTGAATTGTCTGAATTGCTATCCATGTAGGAACTGACTAATAATAGATTTGATGATTTTGATATCAATATTCCTAAATAGACTCAGTCAGTAGATTTGTTAGTACATGTATTACTGATGTGATACAGCTTGTGACATGAACATCACATTTCCATTCTTTTCAAACCTTCAACTCTTTTGTGATGAAGTATGGATTGAAATGTTCAAAAATGTACAAAAGGATGTTTATATTCACATTTCCCCTAATTGCTAACTTCAGGTATCAATACAAGACTGCTGTAGCATGGACAATATGATGATACTGGAGCAACCAAGCTAAGCAAGTGCCATCAAAGCCAAAAAAATATATACATTTATCTTTCTCCTCACCATTTACTTGTATGGAGCTTTATGCAAAATTAAAATGATTTCATCTAAAAAATGTACTAGCCTACCTACTGCACTTTACTAGATAATAGACATCATTCGTGTCATATTAACGTCATTATTAACAATATATCATATATTGACTTGGGACACTACTCTGTTTGTAAAAATTATTGTAAATATGTTTCTCTGTACAATATATTTTGTGAAAGAGAATAAAATTGAACCGAATTGAATCGAATATAAGGTCATCAAGTTCGATATGAAGATCATCACATAAAGAGATGTTTAGTACATACACTACAAAGGTTTTATCGATATATATATATATATATCAAAACTTCACAAAGGTTATATATATATATATATATATATATATATATATATATATATATATTAAAACTCAAATATTTATATACATGTTTATATATATATATCAAAACAACAACCTAACAGTAATATCTTATATATATATATATATATATATATATATATATATATATATTCAAAACTTCAAACAACCTAACAGTAATATTATATATATATATATATATTTAAACTCCCAACAACTGAACAGTAATATTGTTTATATTTATATACATGTTTATATATATATATATATTAAAACTTCAAACAACTTAACAGTAATATCTTATATCGATATATATATATATATATATATATATATATATTCAAACAACCTAACAGTAATATTATATATATATATATATATTAAAACTCAATATTGTTTATATATATATATATATATATATATTAAAACTTCAAACAACTTAACAGTAATATGTTATATTGATATACAAAACTCTATAAAACCGTTAAACAATTAACTGGGGTATATATAAAACATAATAAGATAATATCTTACCGTTAAAATGTATTAGTGACGTAGAATTTTGCTTTATTACTTTTCAACAGTAAATTGATACCCCGGAATGAAACCCTGTGAGAAAAACGCTTGTACGATATAGAGTATAGTGTAAATATTGAATCTAATGAAATCATTTCAAACTTTTACAACACATGGCTTTAGAGAAAGATGGCTACCGAAACCTCACGATCAAAGCGTTTATGATAGATCATACCGTTTGTCAAACTTATTTCAGTACAAGAGCTCTCTACACTGCCTGCTGCCGAGAGGATGACGAGAAGAGCTAGATACGGTAACATCGTGCGTCCAGAGGTTATCCGAAGATTATCGTTTCTGTCCTGTTCTATTGGTTCCAAGTCTTACTGACGGATCCGGCTGTTTTCGAGGAATGTTGGAATGAATCTGGACCCCGGATTAAATATCTATATAAATGACTAATTTTCAACCATATGTTTCAATGGTATTATACTTTTTGTATCTTATTTGTATTCTGATATGGGTGTGTGCTGTAAATATGTTTAATTCAATATGGAAGAAAACCTCGTGCAGATCAATACTTTTACAACATCTTGCAAGTTTTTTTATCAATATATTGTTTAAATTGATCTGTATTTCTAGGATAAAATGCTTGGTAAAACAACTGCAAAAATACAGAACCATATACTAATAAAGGGGGCATAGTGATACATTTCAAAAACCATTACTAATGAAGAATGTTAATATTGGTGACAGAAATAGCCTGAACAATAATGATGGTATTATGTTGTATATACGGTTTGGGGCCTCAAACAGAAAGATTAAGACATCTTTATTTATGATGTTTTGTTTTTCAACACAGTCACTTCCAATTGATATAGAAATGATATAAAATCTATACTATCTCTTTTTCTCTTCTTTTCTCTCTATCCTATCATCTCATCTTTACCTCCTTTTGACAAAATGATTTAAACTTACAATTGTACGTCTACGAATTACTTATCTTCATATCTATAGTATAAATATGTCACGTGCAATATGTTAATTATTTGTAATTTCATTTATGGAGAAGAGTTCATAAGTTGCTAGAACTTGTCTCTGATCCATTTATCTAATACTGACCGGAAGTCGCTCGAGGCCAGGCCAAGAGAATAGGATGGATGAGGAAGGCTTTTATAGGACTCGGGCAACTAAATCAATAACTATATGTTATTACTTAAGCATTTAAGCTAAAAACATTAATGTTTGAAGCTCAACACAAGGTACAACTGTCTAGATTTATAGAAACATACCTGTCAAAGGCTACAAATAGCATAATTTTGTAGGTTAAATAGCTTCTCGGACTGTCATTGCTTTCAGAAATCGACAACCGGAAGTTTACAAGTGGAACTAACTACCAACTAGAAGATGAAACAGAACCCCGGTCGCTCATTGGCTTATTAAGTTGGTTGTATGAGTCCTTTTCAGCCACACATTCGCATAGCTTCCATCAAAACTTCGCTGTGTTGACTGGTACGCTGTCCAGGTGAAGCGAAATCCCTCGACGGGTTTCCCAGTCGTTTCTCCTCGATTGTTGAGGACATTTGCTCCAGTAGGATAGCGTAAAACTACACATAGAAGGCGGTCGTCGTTCACTCTTTAACCTGTGCGGCAGATTGACCCTACAGACTAGGATTTTTATCCTCGCTTTATATTCAGTTTTGTCGATTTTACCAACTCACCTAAGGTCTGAACAATTGCAGCTAGTAATTCTACAAGGAACCAGTAGCTAAGACGAGAATGTATATTAAGTTTGGTGCATTTTACCATTAAATAACGAAAGAAATCACGGGTGTTAGACTCGAACTTTTTCATATCCCCTCCTATCTATGCCTCATTTTGATAATGACAGCAGGTATGACTTTAACAGTAGTGGAGTCGACACGAAAAAGTGTTAGACTAAAAAACATTTTGATATCCCCTCGCATCTATGCATCGTTTACAAAAGTGGAACCATCCGACACGACAATGTGCGAGACTCAAACTATTTTTATCTAGTTGTATCTATGTTTCATCGGCAAAAGCGACCAGTACAATATTTACGATATGTACAACGCATAAGTGAAAGTTTGTGCGACTAGTACAATATTTACGGTATGTACGACACATTAGTGAAGGTTTGTGCGACTAGTACAATATTTACGGTAAGTGCGACACATAAGTGAAGGTTTGTGCGACTAGTACAATATTTACGGTATGTACAACGCATAAGTGAAGGTTTGTGCGACTAGTACAATATTTACGGTATGTACAACACATTAGTGAAGATTTGTGCGACCAGTACAATATTTACGGTATGTATAACACATTAATGAAGGTTTGTGTGACTAATACAATATTTGCGTATTTAAGTCTTGTATCTCATTAACGTTTTGTATAATACTGACTCGTATGATATTGACACGATGTTGATTTTTGTTTTGTTATTTCGACTTTGTCACGCGCCATGTGGATTTGTAAGAAGATTGACAACGATTGAATAGGGGATTAATGGCTGCAGTGTATACAGCCTGGGTGTAAGGGCGTGATAATTACCATAATGATACCACATGTCGCCTCAATTTTCTTTTTAAACAAATAGTTCTACATTTGTTGTATTTTGATATTTTCATCACGAAATAAATTGAAACAGCGGCTGGGCAGTGTCAGTAAAAAGGTGGATTCATGACGGAGATCGAAGTGATTCTAAAATTACATGTCTATTCTACATTCCGAACATGCTTTGGAGTAAAGATGTATTTGTAAATCCGAAATTAAAGAACGCCCAATGGTTTTATAATTTTCTCCTTCAATACTAATGCATTATACGAGATGATTGAAAATAAGGACACATTTGCAGGCAAACACAAACATGTATTCTGAATAGCAGTTTAATATAGACACTTGTGCGCTCCGTTTCAATTTTTACAAAACATGGGTCGTTTGGATTATCTAATGTCTAACGCCATTTTTGTTGACAAATTATTTCAAAACGAGAAAAGGACGACCACCTTAGTTAACACAGGAGAGATACGATATGATCACCTTTATTAACACGGTAGACAGAGGACTATCATTTTTGCTAATAAGAGAGAGAAGGGGGACTATCATCTTTGTTAACACCAGAGACAGACAGAGAAAGGGGATGATCAACTTTGTTAACATGAGAGAGAGAGAGAGAGAGAGAGAGAGAGAGAGAGAGAGAGAGAGAGAGAGAGAGAGAGAGAGAGAGGGGGGCTATCATCTTTGTTAACACCAGAGACAGACAGAGAAAGGGGATGATCAACTTTGTTAACTGGAGAGAGAGAGGGGGGTGGGGGAGAGGGAGGGAGGGAGAGAGAGACGGGAGGGAGGGAAGTAGGGGGGGGGGCTATCATCATTGTTAAGACTAGAGACATAGAGAGAAAGAGGAGAATCACCCTTGTTTACAAGAGAGAAAGATGATGGTTATCTTTGTTAACACAAGCGAAAAAGAACGATCACCATTGTTAGCACGAAAGGAAGATTTGTCAACAAGATGTATAATTTACTCATTAGTCAGACTCTTAAAACGTAGTAGAATCATTTTCCTCATTCTTGTACATGGTGCGCGCTACCCGATGCTAGATCTGTCTTTCTCGTCCGATCTGTCTGACTCACTGACACAACATTTGGCGCTTAATCAGGCTAATGTCTTACTTAATTGTTTTCCTGGCATAAAGTATAAAAGAGGGATAATCAAAGAGAATTGGAGAAATTGGTAATTAAATAGCCAATAAGAATTTTATCCATTCAATAACACACGACAATTGAACCTATTATAAGTATCAGCTTGAGATCAATTGATCTGATTGGCTGACATTATTTATTAACATATTCTCACCTTCTGACCTTCGTCTCGAATGAAAATTTTGTTACAAAATGTCAGTGGATCAATTGAAGACATACAGGTAAATGATTGCACTATTATGACAATTATCGGTGGTATTCCTCCTCATATCCCTAGTTGGTCAAAGCTAAAAGGTAACTTACAGGCTCTACCCCTGTTTTACACTTTGTCTAATTTCTGAAAACGCCACTTCTTCACAATAGTAACACTTTGTCACACATTTCATATGCCATACATAAAATGAGTTCGTCGTCAATTCTTTGGATACGGTAAGGTGCTAGAATTACGTTTAAAAACTCCTGTTTGTTGTAGAATGAAAAATATTTCATATTTTGAATTTATTATTTTAAAAAAATATGTAAAACATAGTGCTGAGCCGAATAAATTTCACCCATGGTTTGACATTTTTGTTTATAACACACAAGAGTGCTTGATTTTCCCAACACTACCACGATAAGCCAGTTACCTATACTTAATATCACGACTTTCACCCCCGTATACAGATCTATACATAAATTAAGAATAGGATAAATAAACAACAAGATAGGTTGATGCTTGTAGTAAGGAAATGATAGCATTTCAAGGTTTATCAACGGTGTACAACTGGCAATGGTTTGCTACATTAATAGTATGTGTAACTGACGATAATTTGGTACACATGGCAAAACATGTGCCGGTATGAGAGACTGAAATAATGTTTGCGGAAGAGAAACGTTACGGAGGAAAAGGGGAGAGGGGGAGTTTCACTTACGTGTTAGCAGAGGGGATGGTGTTACGGAGGGCGAAATTAACAATAACCCGATGTGTGATGTTACCGGGTGTATGCTAGGGTGAAATTAACAATAACCCGATGTGTCATATCAAGGGGTGTATGCTAGGGTGAAATGAACAATAACCCGATGTGTGATGTTACGGGTTGTATGCAAGGGTGAATTTAACAATAACCCGAGTGTAATGTTACGGGGTGTATGCTAGGGTGAGATTAACAATAACTCAATGTGTGATGTTACAGGGTGTATGCAAGGGTGAAATTAACAATTACCCGATGTGTGATGTTGAGGGGTGTATGTAAGGTTGATATTAACAATAACCCGATGTGTGATGTTACGGGTTGTATGCAAGGGTGAAATTAACAATAACCCGATGTGTGATGTTACCGGGTGTATGCAAGGGTGAAATTAACAATAGCCCGATGTGTGATGTTACAGGGCGTATGCAAGGGTGAATTTAACAATAACCCGATGTGTGATGTTACAGGGTGTATGTAAGGATGAAATTAACAATAACTCAATGTGTGATGTTACGAGGTGTATGTAAGGTTGATATTAACAATAACTCAATGTGTGATGTTACAGGGTGTATGCAAGGGTGAATTTAACAATAACCCGATGTGTGATGTTACGGGTTGTATGCAAGGGTGAAATTAACAATAACCCGATGTGTGATGTTACCGGGTGTATGCAAGGGTGAAATTAACAATAGCCCGATGTGTG